CCCCCCGTCCCCCGTCCCCTCCACGTAACGGCCGACGCCTCTATTCTCAATGTCCGGTGGCGTGGCGGAGCGTTGTTGGGTTGGCGCGGCCGGAAAGGGAGTTGGTCAGGTGGGGTCATAGATTACTCAGCCGCCGAGCCAGAGCCAGGGGAGCCAGGCCAGGCGGCGGCGGCGGCGAGGAGTAGAAGGGATGAAAGCCGAGCGGAGGGAGCGGGAGGGAGGCGAACGCGGGGCGAGCAGCAACGAGCACGGCCTACACTGCCTCCACCACCAACACCACCACTCACTGGCCAGGAGCAGCAGCAGCAGCAGCAGCAGCAGCAGCGGGCCGGCCGAGGAGTACAGGTCACACTCGCTCTGCCACATTGTCATTGCCAGTCACGCCCACGGCCTGGCCTGGCCTGCTGCTCCGCGCCCGGCTCCGCCTCGCCCCGCGCCTGACCACGCACGTCGGCACCAACCACCACCACCAGGGGCGGCCCTCACACCTGTTGCACCTGCCCGTCGTGCAGGCGTCGCTTGTTCCGTCGACGGACAATTGAACAGACCATGGTAGTAGTAGTCGCCTCGCCTGGCCGCGCGTATGCGGGCGGGCACTAGACAAGAGGCGGGCGGGCGGGCGGGCGCGGGCAGGTGCGAGGTGGTGGTGGTGCAGCCCGGCGCATGTAACGCCCGTGCGTTGTTACGTAACAGCCCTCCCCGGCCCAGCCCCGCGAGCACTGCCGCCGGAGACCCGGCCAGAGCGCTAGCAGAGCGCCCGACCGTGAACCGGAAGGGGAGGGACCATAGGACCAGCAGTCCAGTGTCCAGCGGTTTAATCAGCGACCTCTCCCGGGAGAGAGAGAACTCGCGGCCGGCTTTATTGTTCCCTCTTTTTTTGAAGCCAGAAAAAGGTGCAGCCTCTGAATGCGGCATGTTCATATGCCTAGTTATGCCAGCAAAGGGTTATGGGACGGTGTGTGCTCTGCCTGTGACAGGGCAAAGGAGAGCCGTCCGTCAGCAAACGCGCGCGCCGGCGACGCCATACCAAAGGGCGGAACGCACACATCAGCGTTTCCGGGAGCTGTCCTCTCTTCCTATCTCCCGGGAGAGCTCTACAATCTTTCTGCAGGGCCTCTTCGAAAGCCTCTGGAATCATCTTTATCCTCGGGCCGTCTCGTCTCCTCTCCTCC